TCAAGAATAAAAATGAATGGGGCATGTTCCCACTGTCTGGCGTTCTGGCTACAAAGACTGCTCTCCTTTCACAGAAGTACTCTATGTTACCACCAAATGAACTGCCTGGTAATTTTTCCAACTAAGAGAAAGAGAGAGCTCCTCTGTTCCCTAGAATTTGGTCTTTTTGTGGTACCTTCAACAAAGTTCAATTTATGGCTTTCAGCTCAATAAGAGAGCAGAGCCTGACTACCCCAGATTCACAGATTGCAGTATATTCTCCACCTCAAATGCCACACTGGAACACAAAGTCCCCATAGAGTGGCTTCTGTCATTTTGTGAGGAAGTGGGGGTATGCTGCTGTGGTTGCAAAAGCCCCAGGACTTCTGCAAAAATTCATGGAGGCAATGGCTCCAAGAATAACACTGAGAAATATAAATGGGCACCATAACCGAGTAACAATGCTATACAGTACACATTAGTAAGTCAAAGCCTCAGTGATAATTAAAACATCTAAGATCAACAAACAAGCATTTAAATCTACATATTCTTCAGCACCCATGTAAATGTTAGCAAACAGATGAGAGGCAAAGAACACCCATGAGTCCACTGACTCCATCCAAACCCTAAAGAGGATTGTTTTTGTAGGAGCCATAAAGTTAAAAACTCCCCTAACTACTATGGAACACTCTGCCAAAAAGCTTCCTGTTTCCACAGAGGAAGATGCTCAAACAGAATCATATTATTTTCTAAAATCTGCTCTCAAGTGTACTTCAGAAGCAACAGTCCACGGAGTTATTAATTATTTACATGTATTAAAATGAGATCAGAATTTGGCCTTGTTTCCCTGGAAATTTCAACCACATTTCTCCCACGGTTTTCAATATGTAGAAAATTCAATAGAGCCTTCCACCCTGATCCCCCATACCTCAAAACATTTCTTTTTCCACATGCTGAGATGGAAAAACTACTAAATTCCTTGTGTAGTTTTGACAGGAAGAGGTGCAAGCAACAGTGGCAGCATGAGGATTCTTCACGCACAGAACGGAGCACAGCATATCAAGCCTAGGGCTTGTGAATTTTTACTAATGTAATATTTTCATAAGCATTTACATTCTCTCTTGATTTTATCTGCTGCTTTAATTATTTTCAGAAGTACACAATATTATCCTTCTTGCCAGAAGTTCTACTGAAAAGCTAAGCACTGAACTGCTGAAGCATTTGTATTTTAATTATTAACTTTTAAATCCCCCTTACTTGTAGTTATCATCTGCTTCAGATTCAGAAGATATTTCACTGCTGCCATTACTTTCTTCTGTCACATCAGGAGCATGTAGTTCCTCTAGGATCTTATTCACATCAGTACCAAGTACTTTATCATAAAGTAATTCATAAAGAACAGCTAAGAAGAAAAAAAACTAGTGACAATTTTGTATAAAATTTCATTTGCAATCATATTTATAACAGTTATTTTCATGAAAACACATTGAAATGTCTCCTGAAAGAGAACAGGAAATACAGTTTAAGTTAACCTGTACAGGCAAGATCTTTAAAACTGTGAAACACCTGCAGCTCCCACAGACTTCAACTATAGGCGCTTGGACCTACTAGAATTCAAACCCTCAATTGACACTTGTATCCTCAAATACTAAATACTACAATTTAAATACAACCACACTGTAAGCAAAAGAAAAGAACTACATGAAAATTTCTTAATAGCATGAAATAGATGGAAATTTTTGTTAGGACTCTAGTGAAAGCATACATTTCAGTACGAAACCTACCAACCAAATCAGTACTTACACTGGCAGAGAGCAGCCTTTTCTGCATATTCTATTGGGTAAACAACGTCATAGTGATTTCCATTTGAAAAACACAGCAATACCTAGAAAGAAGAGGGCATTTAAAAAACTGTCATTTTCTGTGTTTTAAAATCATGAAAGCATATATTTAATGCAACTGTGCGCCGATATAATATATTGCAATTTTCAATACCTCATAATTATGACATTGGGAAATGTACCATTTTCTGTAAAAGTTCACTTGACCTAATCAAATAAAAATTACTAACAGAGATATATAACTGTGTAAGTGAGTTTGACTTGATTTTACAGAAATGTAGCATAGAGGGAGATTTAAAAGTACCCTTTGTATTAGGCCCTGATTAAATAAACAAAAACATATATTAATGCCTAGTAGAACAGATCCAAGTGTAACCAATATCAATTTGTTTCATTCTAATATTCAGAATTAATGCTCTATGAATAGTCCAAACCCAGACCCTGTTAATTTTATTGCTCTTATTTGCATTTTCATTACAATGTATAGGCAGCTGAAACATTCCTAAATTTTAATAAGCCCAAAGCTATTGAAAATATATATTACTGGATGTACTCAGTGTACTGAGTAATAAGACTTTAACTGACACTCTTTCTTACATTTTTTTAAAAAAAAAATATTTTTACCTTGTCAGGAAAGCCATTTTCAGTTACACATGAAGGGGCAGCATTTGGTTCCTGATAGATTATGATATCCTTTCTATTAATAAATAAATAAATAAATAAATCAAGAATTAAAGTTATAAAAGTCCCAATAAGAACAAAATATATTAAAATGTGGATTCAAGGGGCACACAAGAACATTGAATTACATTTTTTTTTGGAAGCAGACACTTTGAAAATCTGGACATGCCTCATGGAAGTAACAGCTCTGGTGTCTCACATTCCCTTTTTCCTTAACACGCCAAGCTTTCTAGTTGGACTACAATTCCAAAGATGTGTCATGTTCTCCCGTCTTGAAAAGGGGAGTCACAGCAACATAAAAGTCTTGGCTACGATACACAACATAGAAGAAATTAGCCCTGCTGGAAAACTCCAGCCATACAGGAAAAAGGGTATGCGAGCAAACTGAACATCTTCCATCAGGCACTACAGCAGCATTCCCAAGAATAAAATATTTAGTGTTCAGAAAAAAATATTTCATCTTGGACATAAAATAAATCAAAGCATTGTTATTGAAAACATACACTAAAAATCACAAAAAGGACTGTTCAAATAAACACACATCTACCAAAATATATTCAAAAGAAACTTGTGACCAGCCCTAATGGTAAGCAAAGCCTTGCAAATTAGGACAATTTTATGGTTTTGAATATTGCTGACATATAATTCCATAACAGGCAGCTACACACAACCTCTGAACAGAAAACAAAAATTAAGCTTGCAAGCATTATGTTTTAAAAACTGGTGTAATAAGCCCCAAATATAAACACTTTCTACACTAGGGGCCACCAAGATACAGACCACAGGTCACAGATCTGTATCATCCATTCTGCAGTGTACTCCAGACTGCAGTAATTTAGCAGCACAGTGAGTGGTAACAACAATAACTGCCATGTCACCTGGAGCTGCCATCATTCATCCTGCCACAACATTTCTAGACCCGTTGGGAGCTGCATTGGCTGAGTCTGGAGCATAGGGTTGTGTCATCTGGCCCTCA